GATTTTTTGAAAATGGTGCGACAGAACTTTCGGTTCAACCTAATATTTCGTGATTTGAAAACAATGTAGGCGATTTCTATGAAATATTAGGTCATTCCGAAAGTAATTTCGCTTTTTTCAAACGAGCGCCACAATTGATGGAACAAAGGTTTCTAAGAGATCTTGGAAGCATTCGATGCAGCATTTCATTCTCTTTCTAGTGGTCATAAAGTTATTGCAAAACAATCAATGAGCTTTCAGAAAACAACCAGAATCTGCGACCCATGCTTTTTGAGATGGTCAAGTTTCACGATTTTTTAAAACTTTCATATCAATCCTCAGAAGGAGTTCAAGTAACGATTCGATAGAGTAAACCTTATAGAATACAGAACTACTTTTTTCTCCTTTCCATAGCTTGTCATACATTTTTAACAGAATTTTTACTGATGCTACCGCCGATTTTCATACTTGAGCAGCTAAATCCTCGTAGAACATCAAAAGAAAGGCAGCTCGCGCACTATTCGATGCAGCATTTTCTCCTCTTTCTAACACGTGTTTTTTAATTCCGATTCGTTTAGTTTCCGGGGAGAAATCATCATAACTCATTTTTTTAGCGAGCCCCAGGCTGTACCCGAAAAACTCGAAATTTGATATTTCGAACCCGTAAACCCTCACTTGCTTTGTAAAATTAATGGTAACTCCTAGTACCATTTTGGTAGTCTCAAATTCCGAAAAATTATGATGTTTGATGCGATTGTGGCTGAGGTGGGCTTGCCAAAATCCGATAGTTCGTTTGAAAAATTTAAAAAATATTACGGCGAGATACGAGGAAGAGAAAAAAGTAGTGCTGTATTCTATAAGGTTTAATCTATCAAACCATTACTTGAACTCCTTCTGAGGATTGATATGAAAGTCTTAAAAAATCGTGAAAATTGACCATCTCAAAAAGCATAGGTCGCAGATTTTGGTTATTTTCTGAAAGCTCATTGGCTATGCTGCAATATTTTTATAATCATTAGAAAGAGGACGAAATTCTGCATCGAATGCCTCCAAGATCTCTTAGAAACGTTTGTTCCATCACATGTGGCGTCCGTTTGAAGAAAGCGAAATTACTTTCGGAATGACCTAATATATGATTATTACATTTGTCACCAAAGTATTTGTTATTTTCACTCTGAAACTTTTCTACTGCTTGATTATCGCCTCTTGTCTGTCCGTCAAATTACATACATTTCAAATTCGTACTCGTACTTCTGCTTCGTTTCAAATCCCCAAATCCCCTCGTCATTCGTCACATGTACGTCCTGGGGCAAAAATAACTTTTTCAGATATTTTACGCTTTGGAAGCCTTATAAGTTTTTGTTATTACGAAATAATGTCCAAGTTTTTTCGCTTGATCACTTAAATAATGTAAACATTGTTTGCTTTCACTTCGTTATGAACTTCGAAATTGATGTCAAGAAAAGTTTTGCGGGAGAAAAGTAACTTTCGCGGTTGAATGAAATTTCTAGAAATTTTTATAAGTAGCAAGTTGTTGTGCAATTGTGCCAATCAACAAAGGTAAAGTTATATCTTTGAGGCATTTTTTTTTCAAAAAACTCGTAATTTTCCCAGAAAATGATTTCTTTTTTGATTATGATGGATTCATTTTCTTGCATCATTGAACGCTGAGGGATTCAAAGTCCGGAAAAATAGTTTATTTAATATTTTACAATTTAGAAACAATTTTTATAAATGAGAATTGAAGAACTGCGTCGTAGCTGATCTTGTGATGAAGTTCTCAAATTACCTGCTCTAATAGGCTCCATCTTCGTTGATCTTAGCATATTTTGAAATCTGCCTCAACTCGAACGGAAATCCTTATAAAAAGTAGGGGCTCCTAGCTAAGAAACGGTTCGAAAAGGCTAGAATTCACTTACAAATGAGCGAGAATTTTTTCACAAACTGTATGCGGTCAAAGGCATGTGTTCATTTTTGTCGTACTCATCTCTTTTGTGTTACAGATAAGTCTTCTTCTTGAAAACCTCGATTATTTGTTTTAAAATCGTATACTTTCTTCCAGAAAAGATATTTCTGCACATCCTTCAAAAGCTCTTAAAAACTCTTTTCAATAATTAGAACTCGTTGGCTAAATCTTGTTTTTTATTCGATTAATCGGATTTGATCTCTGCTTCCGCATATCACAGCACTGCTGAAACAAACCATTTGTGTTCATTTTCTCCAGCCCTTTTCGTGCAGTGAAGTGCATCGTCAGTTATTGAACATTATAAGGAGAGATTCTTCAACAGCTTTTGCATGATACGTTGTAAGCTCTATCCCATACTGTTTATGGGAATCAAATAATTTTGAAGCAAATATCCAAGCTTTAGGCATCTTCAAGTTTTGATGGAAAAATTTAATTCAAACTATTGCAAAGTGCAACCTTAGTATATTCCTAGTGGAAAAAAATCTGTTATCGCGTAGAAAGTAATTTTTTGTGGTGTTATAGGGTAAGGGTTTGTAGCTATATTGAGACTCTCTTAACCGTTACTGCGCAACTAAAATACGCGGATGCAAATCAAGCATGACTCTTTAGAAGATTTAGCGGTTCCTTTTCAAAAAAGACATCTCAGGATTTTTTGGGCGGAGGGAGGGGCTGTGGATCCTTTTACAGGGCCTAGCAGTGCTCCTTTAGAAACTACAAGATATTTTGCAAATGTTCGACCTACTAACCCACAACTTCCCAAGAAGTTTAGGTGAGAAGACATTTTGCCAAGTTCACAAAGCAAAATCGATTTTTAAGTTTATTAACTCAACTGACGATAAAATAATAAAAGTACTAGCCTGCAAAATACCATTATCAAAACAATTATCACAAAATTATTATTATTAAACCTCTGACTTTACTACTTATTCCCGTTATATTTTTCATATTCAAAAGAAGTGACAGTCAAAAAACATTTTATTATTAACAAACCTATACACGTTACGAGCTAATCATATCACTCATGTGGATTACTTTGAAAAAAGAAATTCCAAGATTTCTTGGGGAGATGGAAAACAACCTCGCACAATGTCTTCTTAGCTGATTTTTATGGACTCCTTAAATAAGGTTTTTCGTAGCTTCAACTTGTTGTGCAAATCCTACATAATTGTTCTTTCAATTTGACGGAGGCTGTTTCGTTTGACTTTTACCGTAGCTGCATCTGCACATATAAGCTTTTTATAGCTTTGCAATTTTCCTTTTTTTCCGCTTCCGAACTTTCTATTGTTTGAAAAAAAAAACTTCGCATAGGCTGACATCAGCTAGGTTCCCTATAAAAACAATTCTTTCACACCAGAAGCTTTTTTGTAGCTTTATGCTTGCACTTTATAGTTTGTGCTTACGAAGCTTGAAAGTTTTACGTCAGTTCAGAGCAATTTTTTTTACTCAGCTATTAATCGGTGAATTTTTTTTGACAACTGGCATCATCCTGCAAAGAAACGATTGTATAACCGCTAATTTCCGCTCATTTTTTCTCCTCATGGTTACCTTAGATTATTGTAGAATTACTGTCCTTTCCAGACAAGTCTTCGATTCGTCAGGAATGATTTTGTCGCATGTGGTAACGTTACTCCTTCTAATCGTAGTCCATGCTGAGAAACCACGGTCAGGACGAAAGCATCATTTACAAATTAAATGTAAGTACTTTCAGCTCATCTACCAGTTTTTTACATCAAAAATTTGAATAGGAAAAATACGAGCAAAATTCCCTTCAAGGAGTCGTTTGATTTAATGAATGCAGATTGATATCAAACGCTGAATTTCGGTAATTATCATCATTAGAAGTTTTTACTGAATGCTTTTTTATTGACATTTGCCATGGCATTTCGACATCTAAAACTGCTTTTAGCCAAACTTATTTTTCGGAAAAATTTCTATGCTCAGTTTTTTAATAGGTCCTGAGCACGATAATTTCACATTTGACTTTGCGCTGAAAAAATCTTTAATTAATTTTCTTTGAACGCCTTATTTGTCAAGGGAACATGACATTCTGAAACCTGGCCCGCTCCAATCTCAAAAAAAAAACGTTTTTGTGAAATCGCTTTTCCTTGGATTTTTTAGTTGGCAATGGACATGATATTCTGACACCTTACAAATGTCTGATAAAAAGGATTTTTTGAAAAATAACCCATGCTTGATTATAGCAGTTAGTCATGACATTTTAGCATTTGATACTGCTCTTAAAAAATTTTTTATTCAAAAACTATTTTTTTTGCTGAAACATGAGATTCTGACAGACAATACCGTTAGATGAAAAATTTCCAAGAAAAACTTTCATAATTTTTTTTACCAGACATGGAATTCTGATATCCAGCACTGCTCTTAGTAAAAATATTTCTTTTCAACAAAAAAAAACCTCGGCTAAAGTTTCGCAGTGCCATTTCTTCTGCAACATGACACTGCTCTTTATGGAAAAGATCAAAAGAAAAAATGTCTTCGGTTGATTTTATCTGCTGACATCATTTATGACGTTTTGACATTTGGCCGTTTTCGAAATGGGAAAAATATATTTAGAAAAGAAGTCTTGATTATATGTAAAATTTGAATTTGAGGGTGAAGCACGGGAATTTTCTACTTTGCAAAGAGGGAGCGTCTGTCAAAAAAGATGTGGTTACCTCAAGAAAAAAATATGGTGCGCAATGGTCAGATAATCCCTTGAACTGTGCTTATCATAAATTTATAATTTAAAAAAACCTTTATTTTCTTTAGCGACAAAAAAAGATTTTGCCAGCTTCTCTTGTAACCGTTGATTCTACTGGCTTGGCAGGGAAGGCGGGACTACGTGACCTACTTAAAACTAGATAATGATCAGAGATCACGCGTGCGAGAGAGACGCAGACTGCGTCGCGGGCGCAAGCGGCCTTAATTAGGTCGCAAAGCCCCGCCTTCCAGCCGCCGAGCCAGTTGAACCAAAGGGTAGATGTTTATGCGCTAGAAGTCTTTGTTGGCTTTTTGAAATGGAATTTCAGCTGACCCCACAAATGTGATAGACGGAATCATGCATCGTTACGACAAACGAGTTCGTCCAAATGCTGATACCCAACATCCGGTGATCATTCACATGACTATCGTGCTTGGAATTCTCACTGAAGTGGTTAGTGGAAGATTTGATCAGAAGTATTACTTTTTTATCGGAGGGCAGAGAGAGAGAGTCAAATTTGAAAATGGTTTCTTAAATTGGCGTCTGAAGTTCGTCAATGATAAACGATTTCAAAGCGGTTTTTCGGATTGCATTGAAGTTCGACTAATAAATCTTTCTAGAGAGTGTACTTCTAGATGATCGTCAAGCAAATTGTTTTATTCAATTCTCAAGTAGCTTTCATAAATTTTAGTACATATTATCCATGCTTTCAAATGCTTAGTTGAGTGAAAGTTGCTTTTATTTTTGATAGCTAAAAGTTTGCTGATAATATCAAAGGGATCCATATTTGCGAACGAAAATGAGCTATTTGAATAGAAAAACCAAGTAAATGTCCTCAAGAAAATACAAACTTAATATCTACACTTCAATGAGAAAAAAATATTCTAGTACTACAGGTATTTTTTCTTAAAGAATCATCGCATTTTAGAAGAGATAAATTAAGTATCACATCAGGTTTTTCTAAAGCTTTTCACATTTCAGAGAGAAAACCAACAAGTTGCCAGCTTTGTCATCTCTCATGTACAGGTCGGTATATTTCCCTAGGAAATCTTAAATATGTTACAAGTCTAGAAAACTTTATGACTTTTATTCTAGAGATGGCACGACCCGAAACTTGCTTGGGATCCAGAGAAATATAATGGTTTGAAGCAAGTTGTCATGCCCCAAAGTTTGGTGTGGATACCAAAATTATTTATTTACAACAGGTAAGTAGCTTTTATAAAAATAGTGGGGGATCCTGTCCTGGAGTCCTGGGGTGAATTTGTAGGTTTATAGTGAGAATAGCTGCAAGGCACAAGCAAAGTACTCTTGTGTCGATTTTGTCTGTTATTGTAGTTTTTGTTGCTAAAACCTCTTTAAATAAGCGCCAAAAATCATCTTGTGCATAACTTGAAAAGTAGCTTTTTTATACACACATTTTGAGAAAATCCCTATTTTTTCCCCTTCCAGCATGGATACCAAAGACATGCTTAACGAGGATCGCTATGATGTACGAGTGCAACATACTGGTCATGTAAAAATTAACATTCCACAATTTGTCACAAGTTTATGTCGTATTAATATTGATCTCTTCCCATTTGATACTCAGGTAAGTATTATTCAAATTTGAACCAATGCTAGTTCTAATTTTGCTCCTAATTCAGTTTTGTGCAGTCGCGTTAGCCTCGCCATTGTTATCAGTAGAAGAAATGGATGTAAATGCCACTCACCCTCCAAAGGATTCGTACTTTTCGGTGGGTTAGAAAGATTATATTATTTATCTATTACTTGACCGAATCTTTCAAAAATGATTTTTCGAAGTTTTTCCAGAGGTATTTATGATCAAAAAATTTTGCCATTACTATTGCCGCCTAGCAAACTTGAAGTTCATATGAGTTCATGACCTTGCAAGCGATTGAGCATTAAGGTTGCAATTCTGACCTATTCAATATTGGGGCGCACTTATGGAAAAGGTTTTTAAAAAATCAACCATTTTGATTTAAAAAATTCGGTCTTCTTTCGAACAAATTAGAATAGATCCTGTATAAAATGATGACTGAAAAGAGTTAAAATTGCAATAGATTTGACTACTACCACTAAGAATGTAAAGTTGTCGTTCATCACAGATAATCTCACAATTAGTAATTCCTTATCTTGAGCAGCTAGCCCTACAGAAATAATTGCTATACTTTTACTGAGTAGAAATAACTAGAGAATAACGGTACCAAACAGGGTGTCCCAAAAGTCTTTGAGACTAACTTCCCAACGTAGTAACTTTGATAGTATTCTCCGTTTTTCAGTTAAATTTTGCGTACGAGTACTTCGTCTAGTTTTAGTATTTCTCAAGAAAATTATGCCGTTTGTTCTGTACATTCTCAAAATACTGTTTTTGGAGCAAACAGTACTACGATTTTGAGGACGACCCAGTGTTAACTTACCCTTTACTCAAACATCTATAGCTCTTTTGCCTTCGAAGCTCTTGCGGAATCTTGAACCGCAAATTGTAGAGCTAGCTTTACTCTACGTTTACAATGCAAAACTAATCAGTAGTCTCTATTCATTAATGCATGATTAAGATACAAACACTCAAGTAGTGCCGTGTCGATAAGAAGAAAAAGTTCTCGGGAAAAAAATCCGAGAAAGCTGGAAACTCAAACACCAATTCAATTTGAGCCACTAATTCTAGCTGTAAGCTCTGCATTTTTTACTGAAATATAATTTTAAAGTCATTCCATGCACAACAAAATTGCTGTTTTTTTTTGATGTCAACAGAATTTGACTGCTGCATTTTGACGCATTTGTTAAATCTCAGAGACGTGCTTCTCAGATCAACATGCTTTTAATCGTTGGCCCAAGAGGCTCTTGACTTCTTTGTGATCAGTCATGGAAAGCAAGGCTTGCTCTGTTTCACACAAAATTTTGGGCAGTCTGGAACGCTTGCTTCAGAAGATGTGAGACATTCTCGACGTCAACTATCTGCCTGCCACGGTGCATGCGTCGCGCAAGAGTGTGAGAGCTTGTGTGAAGGCCAAATAAGGGATTTTCAAAAACTGAGTGCACCTTGTTATTTTGTAGGTTCTTCACAAGATTCCTGCTAAATATCATGTGACTATGTTGCTTCGTACAGTTGCAGCTGAGCAAATACTAGGCTTAAAGACTTTTGGGACACCCTGTATAGCTTACAAGGGAACCGTGTCGAGTCGAAGCGGCCTTTCCAGATGAGACCCATACTGCTTTGAAGAGTATTAAGCGATGATTTCAAATCTGCCTTCCAAATCTGCCAAGCGCCTCTGGACGCCGAGTTATGACCGTTCTTGGGAACGAAAAATGAATGCAGAATTTAGGTAAAATTGATTGTTACAATCTTTCCAGCGCTCAGATAAAGCAGTGTTAATTATTAGCATATTAAATAAAATGTATCCATTGCATAAACAGCTTTGATACTTGACATTGGACCATTTGAGCAAATTTCGGCGATTTCGCTTCAGTTTTGCGTTCAATTTTTTGACCTGAAAAACGGGCATAACTCGGCGTCCAGAGGCGCTTGGCAGATTTGGAAAGCAGATTTGGAATCATCGAGTAATGCTCTTCAAAGCAGTATGGGTCTCATCTGGAAAGGCCACTTCGACTCGACACGGTTCCCTTGTTAGCTGCATCGAAAAACGAAGTCATTTTCAGGGTAATGCCGAATGGGAAGTCATTAACGTAACGGTAAGACAAATGAAATTCATGGAAGATGGCGAATATCGTGCTGAGGTGGGTTGTTGCAGTAAATGTACTGTTTGCTTTTGAGTTTCTAGATCGAGAATATTCGAAAAGGTTATTCAATATTCAAGGTTCACTATATTATACATTTGAATCGTCGACCAATCTACTACATTACTGTCATTGTGGTGCCGACCTTCTTGATCTCTGCGCTTTCCATTCTGGGTATATTCTCACCGGGGTCGAACGATGGGCCAAGGAATGAAAAGGCGAGATTTTTCATTCCGGAAATAATCAAATTTACCTACTAACTATTCACTCGGGAAAAATGCTTGTTTCAGGTATCCCTTGGGCTTGGCTCCCTACTCGCTATGACTGTACTGTTAGACATAGTAGCTGGCGCGATGCCAAAAAGCAATAGCATACCCCTTTTGGGTAAGTGAATCCTTCCAAAACTTTATGATTTTCCTAAATAAATAACTACTCAGGGTTCTATATAATTGTCGTAATTATGCTCTGTGCAATTGGAGTCGCAATCTCGATGGCTTTGCTAGGATTGTCCCGATCCTATATCCAAACAGAAGAACTCCCATCAAAAACTGCATATAGGTCAGAATTCTGAATTTCAATTTGTTTTTGTGTTCTTAGCCCATGTGTTTTTTTTAGGATTCTGATGCTGAAGCCAACGAAAGCGTTGAGATTCAATAGCATTTGCCCAATTGCTCCTTCGGAAAAGATTGCAGCCATTACGTAAGTTGAAATCATATGTCTTATGTATAAAAACCAAATATGGGGATGTAGGCCTATTTCGCACTACCGTACCATGAGGGTCCATGATCAATTGCCCTCCTTATTCCCTTCCTGCTTTCGCTAAAACAGGATCTGCGTAAAATACTAGATCTTCAAACAGTAAATATCTTTCAAAATACAAAAAATACTAGAAATAACAGCAAACAATTCAGTTTCTTACCTAGTGGTTCTTGGAAAGATGCTATCAGACATAAACCATTAAGTAAAGATTTCAATTAACTTTTTCAGACCGCGTTTTCCGGATCTAGCAGCAATTTACCACCAGCTCACCGAAGTGTCTCGCGCACAAAAGGTTTATAGAGAACGGATAGAGCGATTGCAGTGGAATAGCCGGGTATGTACCTTTCGCCTCGGATTCCGTTCAGAGTTGTCGAGTGTCAGCGCCGTGCCAACAATCACTTGCTCCCCTCGTTATGATGAAAGCGCTGGCACGGCGCTAGCACGGCCCTGGCATCAGGCAACTCTATACGCGGTCTTAGTTGACCAACATCATTTCAAGGACAAGGCTTTGTTTATGTTGAGATTTTGAATGAAAATTACACCTTTTTTCTAATTTTTAAAAATTTTCAGGTCGAAAAAGAATGGAACAAGGTTTTCTCGCGCGTCGACCATGTATTCCTGTTCCTCTTCCAGTCAGCAAATGTCCTTGTGCTGTTGCTGTTTTTACGTTATGCATTCATCCCCGTTCCGGATCTGCCGGAGGATTTTGCAGTTTGAAAAGAATGTGTGATCTCATCCCGGAAGGGACCGATTTAGAAGAGTTCGAAAAGACAGCAATGAGTGCTCAACAGAATCCAGTCTTCGTTTTGAACATGTCTGCTGATGTATAGCTATTAATTTTGACGTGTTTGTTCTGACTTTGCACGGGTATTTATTGATATTTTCACTGGTTTTTGAATGAAGGTTTACATCAAACTTTGCAGTATGCTTCAGCCATACTTACAAACGCCGTTGAATAAAGTGGGTTCTGGTAGTGTCAAGAGAAATTGAGAGGTCATTTATATGCCTGCAAGCATTTCTCACAATACCTTTGCTTTTTATCCGAAAAAGAATCGCAGTCACTTCAACACTTCCGCGGCCTTGTTTGTGTGTTTGCGAATCCTTGGGCAGTTTTGAGATCAGTCAACCTGGCGAAATCCATTTCAGCCGTTTAGCTTTCATCAGACGATGTAGAACTTACGAAATAACCATGGTGCTAACTTCGAGAAAAGAAAGACTGACGTAGCCAATCTTCTGCTTTGGTCGCAAGACGCGACCACAATAATGCACGTCTAGCGAGATGGATGGGACGTGGCGCACCGCGCAAGATTTTTTTGCATCGAAGAGATGCGCATATCTCTGAGATAGGCAGTGACGTCAATCATCATTGTGTGGCTGAGTGGTCTAGTGGTATGATTCTCGCTTAGGGTGCGAGAGGTCCCGGGATCGATCCCCGGCTCAGCCCGAGGTTTTTTTTCTGCCAAAAAGGTATAGTCGTGGCAAATGACTAGGCGAACTGTACCCTGTCTGAAAATGGATTGACTGAAGATACATTACAAATTCAATTAGAATTTTGAGAGCATTTGTAACGAAGAGAAACAACTTGAATAAAGCTTGATGAAGTGAAAAGAAGCAGTTATGAAGTTAGAAGAAACTTGGCATTGCACAAATAAGAAAATTCTGTGTTTGCCTAAAATTATTATCCGATGTAAATTTTGTGTGTGCCAGTCAGATTCTGCGGTGAAGACTTTTTTGACTTAATGTTACAACATCGGATATCGGTGCCATTATCAGAGTTTTGGAAACTGATTGTAGGCTTTTTGGCTTCCACCATATCTTCAAGCGCCTCTTCCCACTATGTCAGTCCAGACCTAGTCTGAGACTCACAACATGTGTCCCAGATTGCGCGACTTCTTAAAGGAGTCCGCTCACGGTGCGCGAAGGAGTCCTGAAAAACGCCAGTTCCCGCGGACTGCCTCGCTCTCTCGCTAGCGTACATACATACCGCAGCTTCCGTTCCAGAAGTCACGTACGTCACCCTACCTGCTAACGAGCGGTCGGTTTTCTTTCTCAACTTCCAACATCGATCGTCGAGCAGCGCAACTCCTCAACTCAAAAGAATTTAACATCACCACACATGGAGGACTGACTCGTCCCCTCGCAATAACCCGGTTCAGTGCCCTCGCTTGCCATACGGCAGGAGAGCATCCCCGGGGAGTTTCTTTCTACCACTCCTTAGGTAACATCTTTGACCGGCGTGTTCTCAGCCCACTGTATTGAGTTGTCTGTGTTGGTTTGAAGTTATGAATGAATTGTGGGCATTCAAAAACCCTAGTGCATTGCCAGTAACAATAGTGTCGAGTCACGGGCTTAGGCCTTAGCTCCTATTCCATCTCTATACTGTTTTCAATGTGTACTTAGTGTCCAATATGATTCCATCAGAAAAAAGGACGAGCGTGATCCACTTAGTGCCCAAGTTACTAATGATCCACAATTGCCAACTGTGTAGGAGCGGCGATACTGATAGTAGAGATTAGGAGGTAGGTTGGTAGGTCTTTAACTTGTTGAGTGTATCCGTGTTGTGGCAGGCTATAAGAGCTTGGCGCAAGCTCTCTATTTTTTCCACGCGTTTCGTTTCATCTCTCGGATGTCTTCAGCTCCTGTCGCCGATGCAGGAAAGTCACCATTGACGTTAGTTCTTTGCCACTGACTGGAGCTGGGTACCCCAATCCGAGACAGATGGGTTCCTCAAAGCCAGGAGACAAAACCTCGACTCTACCAGCTGGCGACAAGCCCGCACATTTGCACATCATACCTCAATTCCACATGTTAAACTTGTACGAATTACGTGCCGGGAAAATACTTGGTCGAATTACAGTCAGAGTTAAATGTCGAATTTAAGTCTTTGCCTATCAGTAGAGACGTAGCTCCATTCATATCATTATGTGGACTTAATACTGCACATGAAAGGCCTTGACTCATTGAATGACACTTAGTGACGTCCGTTACCATCGAATGCGCGGGCTTCTCGCTAGCTGATGATGTCGAAGTATTTGTCTCCTTTCTTTGAAGATCTAATGCTGTGAGACTCAGATTAGGCCTAGATTGGCACAGTGGGAAGAGACGCTTGAAGGTATAGTAAGCAAGTCGAAAGCTCAAATCAGTTCTCAGACCTCTGATGACGCCGGCTTTTTCAATAAAGTCCTCATCGCAGAATCTGGTTGACACACACAATATTTGCTGACACATCCTGCCATGCCCAGATCAAAAGGAAGAGTATTTGATCTATTGTGATCCGTTTTATTAGGGTGAACCAAAAGTGATGGGGCACCCAGAGAATAAATGCAGTTTTCTCAAATAGAAAAGCTAATTGGAAGTCTATGTTTTGGCAGATCTTAGTACATAACAAAACCTTCTGATCGATGTCTGTAGTTGGGCACTGTCACGTGGCGTTATTTTTATAAGCGCTCAAAATAAGCTCATCACTTCAAGTAATTTTGAACTCTAGCAGCAGCGCCGCAGTAGAACAAGTGAGCCTACCAAAGATATCTGCGCAGCATTGGCTGAGGGGACTGTCACAAATCCACGATAGCTCGGTGGCTCCAAAGCTATAGAACAGAAGATATAGCATTGGGTATCAGGAGACAGAGGAGACAGTAGGAGACATATTACTTATTCTTTCATCAAAGTAATCAAATAAGCTCAACCTTAACAGTTGCTTTCTGATAGTGCCTTTTACGCTCTATCCATACATATGCAACTTACTTCGATTTTTCTCAGTTTCAAAAATTATAGTCCAGAAAATGAATTTTAGTCTGAAAATCTGCGCCAAACACAGCACTTTTTCGAATAAAGTGCCTCTTTGTATGAAATAATGGGCAATTTTCGAATATTCATGAACCATTAGAAACAGCTTGGAAAGCTCTTTCGAATGGTATGCCATATGTCGAGGGACTTTCAGGTGCAGCAGCACTAATTCGGATGGCGTTCAAAAAAGTCTGTCTGACTTCTTTGAAGCGCCGTTCGAAGGAATGTCGGTTAGGTGCTGCAAGGTGCAGGTCACTTTATACAAAAGTGTTCATATTGCTAGCTGTTTATAGCTAATCAGAAAGAGATCTTGAAGAATGCGTAAAAAATCAATGTACCCCATTACTTTTGGATCACACTAATAAATGCAACTTCATCTGCTCAGGAAATTACACTGATCGGTTTCAAAAACTGGATAATCAGTATAGGCCGTCCGCGCTGTGCTCGGAGAGTAGCGCTGTCGCGTACAGTCAAGATAGTACGGGCGCAGAGAAAACATGCGGCGAGAGTGCACGGGGAGAGAGGAGTGACGCGCAGTGCACACCTTGCGCACTCTCCGCGCCCTGCGCGGACGGCCTTACTATATAATGTTTGGCTTAGAATTTTTTTGTATGTTCGCCCAAAAAGGATAGAAGGAATCTTGGGATCTGAAACAAATTTAGAAGCCATAATGTATGGGTGGGTGCATTAATAATCCATCTTATTCGGGACCCACCGTTATCTATCAATTTCTTGATTTTCTGCAGTTTCTGTTTGAAAGATTTTGTATGTTCGTTCAAGAAACATAGAAGGATTATGGGGTCTGAATCATTGGCAGACATGATGTATGGGGCGGGCATGTGTTGATAAGCCTTTGGCTCAGGGCACATGGGTTGCCCCTACTGATTTATTGATTCTTTCGATTTTTGCTCAGCAAATTTTTCCGCCTTGAATAATAGAAGAACTTTTAATTTTTTTCGCCCTGAATAATAGACGAAGTTCTGACTTGAAAGACGCATGTGTTCTGAGCACCGAAGGATAGCATAGGCTATCTTTCGCGGCAACTTGCTGCACGTTTCTATGGTTTTTATTGAGATTTGGCTTCAAAGGGAAATGATTTAGCAGCAACTTTGATTCAACTTCTCCAGATAGCTGGACAAGAGGGGTATAGATCATTTCATTTACGCCTTCAAATGACCATGCGAGGCGAGGCGTGTGTTTATAAGTAATTTTGTTCAAAACATACCGATTGTTATCGCTATTGCTTTTTTGCAGTTTTTGCTTACAAATTTTTGCCCTCCCAAAGTGTTTGAAAAGATTATATGTGGTGTGAACCGAAGTTCGCATACATGAGCTGCGGGGCGGACGGACGTCACAAACCTTTAGCAAAAATAATCTGTTGTTGCTTTTGATTCAATGACTTCCGGTGTTTTTTGCTTACAAGGGAAGCTTGTCTAGTCGAAGTGGTCTTTCTAGATGAGATGTATACCATATTGAAGGGCATAAAACGCTGACTCCAAATCTGCCTTTCTTATTTGCAGAACGTTCATACACGAGAATTTATGAGCGTTTTTATAGTCAAAAACTGAATATGCACTTTGGATAAAATGAGTTGCTAGGATCTTATTAGCCCTTAAATAATGCAACAAAGGGTGCACATCTTTTAGTATTACTTTTGAATAAAGTGTTTTGATGATTATCACTGCTCCACTGAAGAGCTAGAAAAATATTACGGCTATTTTTGTCCCACTTGTAAATTCAATTTTTTGCCCCAACCAGCGCTCATAACTCCTCATCTATAACCGCTATGCAGATAAGGAAGGCAGATTTGGAATTGGCAATTTATTCCCTTTAATACGTTTAATCTAAAAAGGCCACTTCGACTAAACATGCATTCCTTGTTAGCAGTTTTGGCCTGGCTCACTGCTAGAGAAAAATCATGAGATCTGGACCAAACTTCGCATACATAAACTTTTAAACGGGTCTTCTTTTAATTAAGCCATTTTCACTAATATAAGCTACATCAATTTACTAATATTTCTTACTTTACGCTTTTGGGGCTAAAAATTGGCTGGAAGGAAAGTATAGGTAGGCATGGTACGAATACAACATCTACCACCTCAATGGTTTTCTCTATCTACCCATTGATTTTTTGTATCTAAAATTCTCGATTACTATATTTGACTACGCATCATTCCCTTTCTCACCGGGAATTATCTACCAGCTAAGTTCACCGACAAAATCAGAAATGCCACTCACCAACAAGATCAAACACGGCCACCATATCAATCAATAACATTCAACACTCTTATATCCCGTTCATTCAATGACGTAATTCTCACGTACTGTATCTCCTTTGAATGCTTCCACTTCCAACACCGTGATACCGTCAATCACCCCTTACAGCATGGGCACATCCAGCGCTTTTATGTTGTTAACTGCGCGATGTCCGTCGCTTAGGTATTAACTCAAATTTAATTGAAAGGCCAAAATGTGTCTTCAATCATTCTCGATCTACATAGGCCAAACCGAAGTGTTTCGCGCAAATTGACAAAATCGCTAACAAGTTCTTACATTTGCACAATGCAGAGCGGAACGAAAGATCTACGAGGCAGCGAAGTTGCCGAGTACCAGCCGAACTTGCAGAGACCGGCTGGTATTACACATGGAGCAAGAGTATATTCCAGATTTTTCTTGCGGTAAAAATCGGGCTGAGCCGGGGATCGATCCCGGGACCTCTCGCACCCTAAGCGAGAATCATACCACTAGACCACTCAGCCACGTCTGTATCTGCTAATCAAGTTCGTTGGCGTCCTTGTCCTTCCATAACGGTTTTACGCATGGCGCAAGCAATCATTCACACCGTGACGGCTGAGTGCATCGACAGATCTTGCGACGAGAAAAGCATTTCTCGTCGCAAGATCTTAAGGTGACAACCCTTTCCCCTCCAGGTTTAAGTTTGTGGACGGTGAGAGAGACATTCAGTTCAAATGGGAGTTTATTGCGGTCAAAATCATGTCATGGAAATTGATGTGCAGAACTGAGCTATGCCAATAACCTATGACAGGTTTCAAGAGTTTGAAATTTATAGGTTGAACTAACTAGCAGGCAAGCTATTTCTGCTTACTGCTTATTTGATTATTTCTTCTTTAGCCTTCATTTGTCGTATTTTCAAACAACATCTGTTGTGTAAAGTGAGAAAAGTTACGAAGATGCGGTCTCGATGTTGTTCAAAGCTCTGTCTGAGTTCATTTTACAAAATGCTCGATTAAGTAACTCGGAAGAATACAAGGGAAACCTGTTACTGACATTTCTCTACCTCCATTTTCCAACTTTTTTATTTGAAGATATTATGATAGCACTCAAACAAAAGTTGACGAAGTTAAAGCTGCATTTTCTTCTCTGCAGATGAAATTACTCTAAGCCCATAAAGTCTATATATGACATCATTGAGCTCCAACATTTATTATTATAATGAAAAATACACAATCCCGTATAATCTCGCCTCTTATCGATATATTAGGTTGATGCAAAAGAAATGGCCGATTTTCCAAGCCTTTTTTCAGGGCAACTTTTTTTCATCAATACTTCTTCTTTACAATGGATGTAGTATATTGTCGCAAAGCTGTTTTCATGCTCTATCTAACGGTGCTTGAAATGGGCTCTCATCCTCATTTCTTATAAAGTTACTAAGCTGTAAATAACTGCATCCAAATTCAGAATTTCTTTGCACTCACTTTTCCGGCCAGAATTCAAGCGCGTATCAATGGGATATCTTCAAAAATTTAGCTATTGTATGTAATAGAAATTTTCTACATTATGCATACTTAACTGCATTCTTTAAAGCTATCCAGACTGAGATATCGGAGCCTAAACATGGGTTGCTGTTGCGGTCATTTTATGACCCATAATTTTCTTTTGAGGAAGTCAGTCGCCAAAGCTTTGCTCAATTCTGTAAGCGTAGAGCTAGGACATTTATTAGCAGTTTTTGCAAAAACATCCAGATGTTCAGTACGAAGAAAATCAGAAAATTCTATATTCCGGACCTTGAGTCACACTGAAAAAATGTTGAAAAAACTGAGAAATTTTAAATTTCAATTTTTTCTTTCTCGCAAAATTTTTTGTTTGAATTCTTTTTAATGTGTTTTGTACTACTGACTTGCGGCTACAAGACGGGCCACTTTTCATTCATACTAAGAAACTCTGAAGAAAGTTATGAATTGTCAAAAACAAGGTTCCCTCAGAAGAACCTTTTTTGTCTTTTAGTCCGTATTTCTCTTCCCGTTCATGGTTTGAGTATAACTAAGTATGCGCTGTATTGCGAAAGGATTGCTGCTTCTGGAGGTCTTTACCGCATTCAGAAATGTGGATCTTTCAGAAAGTTATAGCACATCAAAGTGAGAATTCGCAAATCGGTCATTCCTTTTGCATCAACCTAATATAAATCAAAAACAAAAATAAAGAAAATGAGATCAGTGGTACATTGAAACATCGAAAAAAGCTAGCATGAAAATGAAGATTGAAGTCATAGTGGTTCATAAAAGGTTCTCCTGAGCAAATAGAGATTTGGCTAAAAAGAAAGTCAAACCGAGAAAAAACAATGGAAAAATATGTCATTCAACGTCGCTACAAAGCTCGAAGTGTTACTGCTCCTACAAGGCAATTGCAGTTTTCGCACCCTTTGATTCAACTGGCTTGACGGCTGGAAGGCGGGGCTTCGTCACCTAATTGAAGCTAGATAGTGATCAGAGAGCACGCGCTCGAGAGAGGCGCAGACTGCGTCGCGGGCGCGAGCGGCCTTAATTAGGTTACAAAGCTCCGCCATCCAGCCGCCAAGCCAGTTGAATCGAAGATTATAAAAGTCTGATTATAACTTTTACATGAAACCTCGCTGTGGAAAAAGTAGTTGTCACATGTGATGTGATTTGGTGTAAAAAAGCTACTAATTAATGCCACTACCGTACTCTTACAGGTAATCATCGTTGTCTGTTATTGTAATTTCTGGTATATTCATCGTGGCAGCATTTGACGACGTGGGTGTGATTAACAGCTGAAAATCCACTTCTCATCCTATTTTTAGAATGTTTGAAGAAGCTCACCGATTCCTTCAAAGGTTCATTCGATACCTCCGACGCACGAGAAGGTGATCTGTATTTGTTCAAAATTTTTATTTACAACTTCCCTGTTGTGAGCAAATTCTGGCAAAGAAAACTTACGGTATTTTCGAAGAAGCTTGCAAGAACGTTGACTTTACACCGGCGAGTCTGAAAATAACACTACAAAGATAGGTTGCCGATTCTTTCAATACTGTTTTTACAAATTGACAGCATCTACTTCTACAATATTTCTAATTTTAAGGAGGTAACTCAAAATCTAATTTTTCAAACATTAGGAGTTTACTAGAATTTGTTGCCTTTAGCTTCTAGGATCTACGACTCATGCGCTTTTTATACGTAAAACAACTCATTTCACAGCAGTTGCTTGAATTTATAAACGGAATTGTTCCATAAAAAGGTTTGTCCTTCTTGAATGATGACTATGTTAAATAATTTCTACCAATAATGGTGAAATTATGCACTTTGGGAGTGAAGGGTAGACCCATAACTCTACAGGGGTATTATGCGTTCCCCAAAGAGATATGCCTTGCTAAAACTGTTAGTTAATACACTGAAAGTCTGTAATATAAAGAGCCTACCATAAAAAGTATACATGCCAACTTTCCCGTCCGCGTGTGCGGAAGCTGTGCAATTACACAATTAACAAATCTATTTACGCCATACAGGTAATCATTGATTCCACCCGAAAAATTTGATGATTCCAGGCGACACTTCACTTGCTATTTTGCCATAATACCGATAAATTTAGCCAGATGTATCAACTTTTGAGTTCCGCTTAATTTGACAGCATATCTAGTATTTTTTATGAAAAAATATCTTTGCAATCGTATCATTTTCATCTACCAGTTCTGTTATATCTCGGCTTGAAAAAAGTACATAAGAATAATCCTCATTCGTCTTTCCTGCAAATATTCCCACACCCTTCAAGCAAGGTTTCGGATTAAACAGTTTTTGTTTTCCGAAGCAACTGCTATGAGATGGCATTCATTCTGTAAGTACGTACAAAAAAGAGAACTACGCGTATTATATGCTCAAATGTCAAGATCTCCAGCCCCAGAGAAGGAGAGGTCATGCGATTGGGAACTACAGTAATCAGTGTTCAAAGTCCATTGTTAAAATCACCGATATCGAGATAGGCACTCTACTTATCTTCATCAATAGTTTGAAAACGGAAACTCGGATTGAGAAGCGGTAAGTGTGCAAAGAAGTAGCGGGGTGTGCTCGTAAACAATGTTTTTCAGTCTGTTCATTGAAAGCGGATTTTCCAGGGTTTAAGGGTACAGTAGGAGAACAACTATCACGTAAAGTATTAGTTTTTCTTCTGTGATTGCGACCTTACCTTCTTCTAATACGCTGTAATAATGAATTCCTTTTCATGTCGATCGACACAACACTTAATGCTGCCGAACCTCTTGGCACATTTTGCGAAATTCTAAAAGAGAGAAGTTTCAGGAAAATACTGCTATTGAGATCTCATGTTTGCAACAGTGAAGTCACACTTTTTGGTGAAAACCTAGAACTTTGCTGTTCATTGGTGCAAACACTGGATTGTTAGAGACCACAATGCACATGGACAGAGACAGAACTTTCATGCATCAGAGAAAGTTAGGAAAAAGCAAGGAAAAATACTTCCAGGCTCTCCTTCTTTAGAAATAGCGAACCGTGCACTTTGAAATGGAAACGACAGGTAAAGCTGAAAAATTGCCAACCACTCATATGAACCCAGTCAGAAAAAGTGCACAGAATTGTTTTTTGGTTATTTTCAAAATTTGTCACAAAGCCTAAGCTCTTCTCATTTACACCTTGCACACTCCCATGTAACTTCTATCACCAAGCCAGTATACTGCTTTACAAAATTTCAAAAGGGGGATTTTATACTAACATTCAACAAAACACACTGTATCTGCAATTTTTGCATCTATATGCGCAAAAGGTCTTCCACACTTACGTCCAAAAACTAAAATGTCGGCATTACAAAGTATACAAAATAGAAAACAGAAATCAACAGTTGCTTGTGTGATTGCACAATTATTTGATTTTACGGCAATCCCAGAGCCGAAAAGTATTACCCCTCTTTTCTACTTTCCGCAATTGTCTAGGTGACATTAACATGGTCACAAAGTTTATCTCATATTGTATTACTGTAACAATGATAGTGACACGTCACCGACGCACTCTGCTGCAGAATAGAAAAGTTGTGCAATTACACAAAGCAAGCTGGAGCGAAAAATCTTGTTATCAACAGAATAATGCACAACTGCTTAGTTTTTTGTTTCACCACTAGATTTGTTCATTTCAGTAAGGTTCTTGGACTGGTTAAGTGGAATGCTGTGCAATAATACTTTTAGCTAGAGCGCTGATTGGTCAAAGGCGCTGATTGGTCAGTACATAGACAAAGCCAATTCAGTGGAACGAGCGAATAATTTGCTTTTCCCATATTTACCAACTTTAGCGAATCTTCTAGTTTGGACTATCCTTACAAAAGTTTTTTTTTCAGTATTCCTTTCTCACACCTCCTCGCCAGTCACGAAAGCACTCAGTTTCTCCTCCTTAGCCAATTTACGCAAAATTTATGTTCAAATAACAAGATGAAGCCGAAGTCACGCAATAACTGTGACTCAGTCGCATTTTGCTGTTTGATTTTTGAAATCATTGGATGACCAGGGTGCAGACTTGTGGGTGTGACGAGCGACGAACTCTAGAGCTCCGTGGGTGGCATGAGTGAACGATTGCCGTTTTCGTGCCATTGCCATGACGTGCTGCTGGCGAAGTTCTCGATTGATCAGTGCGTATAGCACTGGATTGGCTGCTGAGTTGAAGCATACCTAAAACACTGATATTGTTTGAAAAATAGGTGGAAAAGATTGAGTTAAAGCCTAGCAAAAGCTAAGAATTTTATAAACGATCTCTCTTTGTCCAGAAAGATACAATCTTTTTTTATTACTTTTCGATGTGAAGCTGGGAAATTAACCACATCAATGAAAAGTCTGAAAGAGAGATTTTAGCATGAAAGAATCTCCTTTTGATTCTATCCCTACGTTCGAATCTATAGCAAGCTACCGTATCCCCCCTTCCAATGCTAATCGATATATCGATTTTCTGCGCAGGTTCCTGAGATATTTACCTGTTCTCCATTTTGTCTGTGAGCAACGAAGGTTATTTTTGAATTCTTTTCAAAACGTCTCCCCCAACCTCTCCCCCAACCTCTCCCCCAACCTATTCTTTTCCTTCTATTTTGCCATAAGAATTAACCAAGCCAGGCTCATAGCTCCTCCTGCTAGGGTCTGTTCCCCCTGGTTTTGAGACAACGAATGTTAGACATAACTCTCTAATTTTTCATTGTCCTTTCCCCCCCCCCCCCCATCCTTCCCATGTACTCCACGTCATTATACGCGCTTTACTCCTGTTAATCCAGGCTTCATTAATTAAAAAAATACAAACGTACCAATAGGTGAGCCACAAAGAACATTGCGGAAAGTGCTGGCGTCATCCATGAGACCTGAAATTAATCAAGCCATAACTCCACCAACATATTAGAGCCCAAGTAGATCCAAATAAAAACGAATAGCTAACATGAATAAGATTGAACTGCGTCATCAGATTCAATGCCCATTGTGGTGTCCAGCAAAGGAAGTAGAACAGAATCACAGCTACGATTCGCTTCGTGACCTGAAAAAAAGCATTGGTGGTACCTTTTGATTCAACTGGATTGGCGGCTGAAAGGCGGGACTTTGTGACCTAATTAAGCCTAGGAAATGATCAGAGAGCACGCGCGCGAGAGAGACGCAGACTGCATCGCGGGCGCGAGCGGCCTTAATTAGGTCACAAAGCTCCGCCTTCCAGCCGCCAATCCACTTGAATCAAAGGTTGACTTATTTGCTGGAGGAGGTATTAAGGCAACAAGAAGGTTACTCTTTTGAGTTTTCAGCATAAACAATTTTCATTATGGAAGCAATTTTTTTAAGCGAACGTAACGCCTAGTAACGTTTGCTCCCGGTAAGAAAACTGAAGCTGAGTTGTGGGTAGAAGTAATTCAGTTGGAGGTTTGTTTAGATTTGGAAATATTCTTGATCCTGATACCTGCTGTACCCGATGAGTGGAAACATCCCTCTTCCCCTGCTCAGGCAATGTTCGCACTATCCGCATATTGCGCGATGACTCTTGCACTTTACATATAACCTAAAAGAACATCTCCTTATTATGAGAATACTCCCAACCAAACATACCCGTGAGTAGAATAGTGTAATTAAAATCGCTGGAAAAACGAATCCAGTCATAAAAGTGTAGAGTGTGAACATTGCATCTGAGTCAAATATGCATTTCGATATTGTTGTGCCATGGAGATCTGAAAATAGAAAAATTTGTAAAAATGGAACTTTTTGAGGTATAACTCCCTTACCAGATAATCTATGCTCATCTGTGTCATCTTGTAATGGCATCATGCTCATCTTATCAATTTTGAATACTGCAGATTGTATCAGAACAGGCAGTAGAAGAATCACAGCAAGAATTGAGCAAATAAACATCACTAGCAATGCCACACAATTGCTACGAATCCTAGAATAGACAAAAATTCTGTCGAAAAATCAAGGAAATTACAGTGGAGCTCAAAGTTGATAATAATTGAATGGGAAAGTAGGAGTTTGCCATAGACGTTGGAATTACATACTTTTGATATATGGCTTTGTCTTGGGCGAGTCAGAGTCCACGCACATCTTAGTACCTGGGTCTTTTATAAGGAAACTGACTAGAAGCCCATAGAGAAATAATTGCTAACTAAAACTACAGCTCATATAACTCATTCCTAGCCGAAATAAACAGCTTCAAACTCCGGCCCATACCGTATTTTCTACCGCACTCGAGCACGCTGATTGGTTCGTTTGAAGAGACCATGGAGCAATAAACTTATTGTGCTAGTATGTCATCCTGTGTGCAACAGCATCTTCAACGAAAACATCGCAGTTTACTACCTTTTGATTTAATGGGATTGGCGGCTAGAAGGCGGGGCTTCGAGGCCTAATCAAGGCTAAGGAATGATCAGAGAGCATGCTCGCAAGAGAGATGCAGATTGCGTCGCGGGTTCGAGCGGCTGCCCTTCTGCCGCCAATCCCGTTGAATCAAAGGGTATATCTTTATACTTTCCACAAGGCACAATATTTTTGATGAACAAATCACGTTTCTTACAAAATTTTCGTTGGCCCCACCAGCTATTTATACTATACAAGATTAAGTTGGAAAAGCTAATTTTTCGAACTTAATTTTTGTAAAGGAAACCAAGTTTTATGATGTCTCAATCCCCTTCATATTTTCCCCAAGTAACTCCATGTGATATTTCGACTTCATATGTAAGTAAACCAATTTCCTTCAGTACAAACATTTGCTTATGTTAATAGATGCTTAATTCAATTGCTTCCTAGTCATTATCAAGCTAATGTGTATTTCCATACTAAGACGTTTTTTTTTCAAACACAGCCTGTTTCCGCTTCGCTTTTACTTCCCTTTTCGTTGATAAATTCGTGAAGGTTTATGCAAGCTTCTAAATTACATAAGTGCTTTGATTCAATATTTATCGCTGCATCATATATGTCACGAGAATATCAGGAAGATGTTAATTCAGCAGGAGTGAAGCGCAGAAGGAGGAAGTGATGATATCTTGGTTACTGTAAAGAGTATTTCAGACCAAGAGCAGTACTGACAAAAACCATGAAGAGGTTAAAGCACAAACATTTGTTGTTTCTTTTCTCATGGCTATTTGGGAATGACCAGAGAAATGGTCTTATGTTTTAAATATAGGAAAAATCTATGTTGTGGCTACATATTACGGAGTATTTATATAAAAATCAATAACACATTGATAACTTGATATAGAAAATCAGTGTTCAGTCAAAGCGATACTTATGTGTGGCTATTATTTCACGATCTCGATTTACGGTCTCCCCATCAATGTCATATGTCCACAGTACCTACGGGGCGTATGATTTCTGCAGAAATCTTATATATAAAGCTGAATGTCTGTTTGTCTGTCTGTATGTCTGTCTGTATGTCTGTATGTCTGTGTGTACGTATGTTCCGAATGGAAAATTCCATTTCTGAACCGATCGGGACCAAACTTAGCACACATACACTTCGGGCCCCGGCGGGTGTCATAGGCTCATCGATCGATATCGATTTTATCGATATTTTGCAAAATTTGAGCTACGGGGCTGGGAGTTGGCACAGGGGGGTAATCGAGCATGCTGATTACGAATATAATAATGACAGGGCCGGGCGGAGCCGGGTAAGTCAACTAGTAGTACATATTTCTACGATTTCTCACACTGAAAAGGTTTTACCGAAAGCTATTAGTAAGATTTTTTTTTTCACGATTTCAAAAACTAATTTTGTATTCGTAGTCAGCATGCTCGATTACCCCCCTGTGCCAAATCCCAGCCTCGCATGTCATAATTTACAAAAAAATCGATAAAATTGATAAAAGTAATGGACGGTTCAAAAACTAATTTTGTATCCGTAATCAGTATACTCGATTACCCCTGTGCCAAATCCCAGCCCCGTAGGTGAACTCAGCAAAAAAATCGATAAAAATCGATAAAATCGATATCGATCGATAACGAAAAGTGAGAGTGAACATGATTGTGATTTTACGATTTTTATCGAACGAAAAGTGGACTGTGACACCCGCCGGGGCCCGAAGTGTATGTGTGCCAAGTTTGGTCCGGATCGGTTAAGAAATGGAATTTTCTATTTGGAACATACGGCGGAGCCGGGTAAGCCAGCTAGTACTGCATAACATCCAAAATACATCGCTGGATTTTCTTCTAAATTCGAATATTCTCAAATATTTTATGGTCAAATTTTAAAAAATTAACTGCCCTTAAAAAACCTTCCAAACTTTCAACATTATTTGTCATCTTCCAACTATAGAAGTGTTGCAGTTCAGGACAAGTGCTTTCTGAAGTGCTAATGTATTACCTCATCGACTTGACAGGACTGCAGACAGCCAGGTACCGATCCCAACTAAGCACTGTCATGATAAATGAGCTCAATAGCTTGCTAATACTTTCGCCGAACCAATATAGCTTGCACATGGCTGTCCCAAACAACCATTCTCCTGAAAATGTTCTACACATCTTGTATGAATCATTCACGAAGAATTGTGTGTGCAATACTCTGAGACCCACCTTTCAAGAGGTCAACGACCAGAAAAGGCAAGTGAAGTATAACGACAAGGTCGACGATTGATAAACCTGCAAAAAAACTACAGTTAAATTGCAACGACATTTTATATTCTCTCAACTCTCTTGGTATTTATGTGAACAGGGACAAAAATTGTGCAATTGCACATTATGTGCTCGTTAAAATCATTCACGCGACATATGCTACTCATTTACTCTTCTAATAGAAATATTTGATTTTCTTATCCAGGTGCTCAGAAATGCTGATATGTTTGCCATAGTCCAGACAGTTCTGAAGCTTACTCTGGGATACTGTAGACTCATTGTAGTGCTAATGCACAATTCCCTTGTATTTCAACAATTGATTTTTTCCCATAAAAAGATCTGAACTTCGGATTGTGGTAAATCAAAATATATTGGGTCCATACTAGATCTGGTACCTAACCTTGGAAATAATTGTACATTACAGGACCTTTAAAAGAGCTCAAAAATCAAAACTCAAAAATATAGAAAAGTAAATTTACGAAGTTTCTATGTAACTATTGGTATCTAACAACAATAAATTTTTAATGGATTTTTTTTGATAATTTTCGAGCACAAGAAACTTTGGGCTTCCAAAAAAGTGGGTTTGAACGAAGCACATAACTCAATATTGTAATAAGCTCTTTTTACTTTGTTAGTAAATCAATCTCGAAACCTTTTTTGTTCCCATGAAATATTATTACGACGACGAAATTCTGCTCTGCCAAACTTCCTTTTTCGTTCCTACTCTTGGCGTCACCATTGCTTTATTGTGTATCTGGCTATGCGGATATTTTCTCACTTTTTTCATTCTCCCCAGAAAATCGCATAAGACAAGAAGTTAGCCGTCGGCTTTCGGCGTTTGATGCGATTACTTGTGGATGTGCCCGAAGGCGCAAATCCTCGTGCTCAAGAATTTAGGCTCAGTGAGTCGAAACGAGACGGCTGGCCATAGCCGATTATGTTTCGATGTTCAACTCAACCCGCAGAATTGAATCAGAACCCTGCGATCCCTTTAGCGCTCTAATGGCTCGCCCACGTTTTGGGGGGAGGGAGGGGGGGGGAGGATAGTAAACAGGATGAAAGATTTTGGGTTGAGGAGGTGGAGGTAGAACCCGGGTTGTCGCACTTTTTCCCTCAAACTTGAGACGCAAGGGAAAAAGCTGAAGTGCACCAACCACTTAGCCTAGTTCTCAAATAGTACAAATGTACTATTTTGGCAATCAGATGTCTACCGGTTGACTGAACACGGGGTTAGTCGTTAGAACCAAGCGGACAAAGCTTTGTCTTTGTTCAGTCAGGACGAGTTACTCGAAATAGAGATTCCTGCGCTTGAAAGCGGGGAAGAGAACAAAAATTCGCTTCTTTGGGACGCCTCCACGGAAACTGATCCTTCGACTATTGTATGTAGCTTGAGGACCAGATGTCCGCGGAAATGGCTCAAAATGGCGTTCGTTCTTCTATCCCATGAGGACAGACTGAAAATCTACATTTTTTACTATTGCTTGGAAAAAATTCACAAATGCAAGCCAATTCCGTCCCCATTGCTCTTTCCTCCCTCAACAGTTTTGTGTGACAAAAATCTCGATTTCCGATAATAATGTTTGCATTTTCTCCGACGAAACTTCAATTTTCAAGATTGTTCTTTCAACTTTTTGCTGCTGATGCAAGCAATGATTTACACCAGTGGCGTACCCAGGGTCTCTGTTTGAAATCTTTTCGAAAAATTTTTTTATAAGGCTAAATTGAATTTTTAAAAAATTTAAAAAGATTATTTCCAAGTATAAACAAGTTACTTGCACATTTTTTTACTCATGTAAGGAACTTTGAAGAATTTCGCAACCCATTCTCGAGGGCGGGGGGAGGGCTCGGTACGCTACTGATTTACACCCTATCCATCCCTCTTTAGATTCTTAGACTGACTTACTACATCTCAAATTTCGAGTTTAAAGGCTCCAGAATAGAAAGCATACCTAACAATTATCTCAAGTTAGCTGAAAACTCAAAATAATACATGAGAAGAATAAAAAATGATGTAATTAATGGCTCCGAGACCCTGAGTAATTTGAAGCCAAAAGATGAAAGCACATCACTATAAAAGAAGGCACATAACAAGGTAAAGAACTGTTACTGGACGCAAAAATTACAGAAATTTGAGAAATTGGAAGAAACTAAAAGTGGGACATATTCAGCTCATAAGATCTGTGATGAACAACATCAATGTCAATTTTTTCTGAAAATGCACAGCTGGGCAGAATATTACTTCAAGACCGATAGTGAAAAACTAGCTGATTTTCAAGAAATATAGGAAAAATTAATTTCACAAGTAATACCCAAACGTTTGTCATAAAAGTTTCAATAGGATGAAAGTGTATGTATACAGCTGAAAGTATTCTCAAATTTACCTAAAAAGGCTACTGCATGACAAAGGCGCAGAAGCAGTATTAGTTGAACGGGAGCGAGCGCGGCGCGCGCGTATCTTCACCGTTGTAAATCCTGCACCTCATGCGCTCTGTGGCTAATAAAACCGCGTTCGCGCTCAAAGATATTGCGCCTTCGTCGTGCAGCAGCCATACCTTATTATATTATTATTTTCGAATATGCAGGAAGATTTTAAGGCACCCAAACCTAATCTAATCTAATATATGAATGATAACGCCAATCAAAAAACATCAGATAACGGGAAACCGCGACGGGTCCCGAAGTGAACGCTCCTCAATCTAGCACCTTTAGATTACTGGTTCATAGAACAAAATTTCCTGTCTCTCACTTTCTCACTGCACTTGATGGGACTAACATAAGATATGGATAGTTTCGCTTTACTAGGACTCACGTTGCAAATATTAAAAAGAATTTTGCTCTTTTTGCTGAAACTGGTTTCATTTGCTTTCGCACTGCAGAATGCAAAGCTGCACCTAATTACCATCGCGTCCTTTATGTTAAAAATGACACTTTTTTAACGCTCAAAAAGTATGAGGGGGATTAAATGAATACCAGCTAATCTTCTTGAGAGATTAATTAGCAGCTGCATTGCAGTGGAAAATTCAGAGAGCTCAAGAAATGGTATGACGTACCTAGCACATAAATGAACACATGATTGGTGTTCGAGAGACTTTTTCGTTTCCCTCGTCGAGCTGTTCTTCGCATCGATGTGAGCACATTGATAATCATTACTATGACGATCCTAAAGGAAAAGTTATGGGTGTAGATGAAAACTAAAGCAAGAATGGTAAACAATTGCTGCTCATCTCAACGAAATTTTTTACAGTGAGATTAGTTTGAGACGTTAAAGCTGACCTAAAATCAACACAGCTAGCATTTTCCTTCCATGTATGCATACATCAACCAGCATTTAGAAAAGTTGCTTTTTTTAATCAGCTTCAAAACTAGAAAATGGATCCGAAAAAAGATAAACGGATTGTCATATTGTTTCGCTGTAACAGAACAGCAAGTTTGGATTAGCAGATTTGAAAAAAAAAGATTTGTAGAGAAAAGTATGAAGATGTGACTGATACTAGCTACCCACAAAATCCGACAAAATCTGGAATATCTTTTGATAAACGACAAATCCTTTGCAAATCTTGAGCAAAATTTTTTGTTCACAGGTATCCAAGTCGGACCAGAAAAGGGTTTTTTGAGAAATTTTTGAAAATGGTAAATCAAAAGGAAAACATGCAAACTACCAAAGTAGGAATAATCTAGACTGATGTTAGTCGGTACTACTTCCTGTAAATCCTAAAAAGCATGCACAAAAACGGTTCATAACGATCCATATGGATTTATTGTAAATTGAAGGTATGAAACCAAAATGATTTCCAATCAAAGGCAAAAGTTGTAATTATTATGGATAAGTCACATGTCATCCTATGCGAAAAAATTCAGAATGGCCTACAGTGACATACTGTATTATTTTCGGACTAATGAACACTTGAAAATTGAATTCTATGGAAGTTACAACTTGAAGAATCTGGAGATGCCCAGGCCTCGGCACAGCCGTCACCGGGTCAAAATGGATATCGTTTTAGGAGCAAAACAAAGGGAGTATCGTTTTGTGGCCAGAAATAGCGACCTATTTTCTTCAGTCGACGTTTCGTCTTTTGAGGGTTTTTTAACTTTTAGGGTGTAGAGTCAAAGAGGAGTTCGTTTTGAAATTTCCCCGGTGTCAGCTCGTTCCAAGCCCTGAGAAGGGCAACTTGCCAACTTGCGTGTTTCACCTTTTTTGCAAAATCAATCTGTTTAACATTGAAAGGATATCAACCAGAACCATAAATTTTTGACTCACCCATTTCCAATGGTTCCGACAATAAATAGAATAATATAAGCGACTGACAGGCTAAGCTTCAAAGTTGCTCGAGAACTGCCCGTCGGCACTTCCTCGTGGGTCGTGTTGAGCAGCGTGATGTTATCCATTACTGCTATACCTTCAAAACAGAGAAGGTGTTTATGGCACGATTGGCAGCTGAAGCACAAAATGACTACGATAATTATGGGAAGTAATAATAGAAAAAAATTGAGTGTGCGTGAGGGAATTCATCATGTTGAAAGAGGATGTCAGCGGAGGGAGAGATGAGCCACGCAACAAGGAAAAAAGCTAAGCTGTTGGATGAAGAATGAGGCTTGCTTTCTTGGGAAATTTTCTCAATCAAGGAAGAGTGCTTGATGGAACTTAGTAACATTTGAGCAGATTATTCCAAGCTTAGCGAGATACTGGCATCTTCTTGTGAGTTTTTAAACTTGTAAGTGGTATAAAAATAATCCAAAAAGCACGAAAATAGAACTGAAAAGAGATTATTGATCGTATGACAAATTTTGCACTGAACCTTTGAAAAAGCATACGCTTCGCGGTTTCCCGCTATTTGCAGACTCTTGAATTGAGTTAACGATTCTTTATATATTAGATCCAGTAAAAGTTAGTAGAGTTTTGATTTGGTTGGACCGGCTCTTCCCGATTAGGTACTGTTGTTTGCTTGCCAAGACTTATAATCAATTTTTCCAAATTTTACCAAATTTTTATCAAAATAAAGTCCCTGAAGAATTTCTAGGGCCTTTAAATCAAAATTTCCAGAATCGATGCAGAACTCATTATACAGCCTAAATAAACACAACATTCATGTCTAAAGAGAGAAAACAGAGTTTTAAAAATCACAGACGGCATTACCATAAGGGAAGATAGACAAGACTAAAAGCCCAAAGGAATGTCACAAAGGCAAAAAAGTTATTGCCCAGAAGCTCAATCCCATCTCATTTTTCATGTAATGGTAAGCCCTATGGCAAAAAGGCTTCTGTAAATGATACATTACAATGTCGATGCACTTAATGGAATCTTCCATAAACTTTTATATATGGACGTGTTCTCACACAAGAAGATGATGTCGCTCTCAAAAAGATTAGAAAGCAAAAGAAGAAATGCTGTAAAGTCTAGAAGACGAGAACCTCGAAAGTTTATAACAAAAACGAAAGGAAAGGTCTTTGCTTGTTTTGAAGTTTAGAATACTACGAAAAATGACGATGTTTATAAGTTCAAACAATTCAACAACACAACCGCTGAGAATATCAAAAATAAGACTTTAGTGCTATTACTTCCTCGTTGTAATGCTATTACTTCCTCGTTGTATTCGAAAAATAAAAAAAAAACTGCTAAAACTGAGCCCGACCATCGACAGCATCTGATGTCTAAAGTCTAAAACATTGCTTGCTTCTAATTGTAGGTAAGTACAAAATAATTAGTGCATTTTTGATGAGTCGTAAGATTTCGAAAATAGATCACACGTTTCTCAATGCCGTACTTCCTGAACTATGTACGAAGTCTAAGCATAAATTATCTTCCCTTGAAGTGGATTAGCGAGAAGCTTACTTTATGTAATACTCAGTCTCTTAGTCTGAGGCGAGACATATTGAACCTTCTTAGTTGAAAAAAACATGTAATATTTGCGAGAATCAAAAAGCTGCGTCAGATTCAAAGAAAACACGAACTAGCAGTTCACTCACTCAGAGCACACAAGGAGAATAGAAAACTATGAACGAAAAACGTAGTATAATAATATATTGAAATTTCTACCATCTACTTAAGTTTTTTGCTAATTCTGAACTCACTGGGAAATTTTCTAACGGCAACATCACGAGGAAGAGCATGCGAAAGTCTTGGTCACATTACCTGTAGCTTCAAAAAAAATTTGTTCGAGCCCATTCTCCTCATTTTTATAAATTCGCCGCAATGTTTACTCTAATACATAGTGGATAAGAGTACAATAAGTTTTAACCCCACCTGAAGACCAGAAGGTCACAGGTGAAGGGAGAGAGGGATTGAAAAGAGCTCAAGATTTTCCAAGGTTATGTTGGATTTCTAGAGCTACAAGTTTCAAACTTTCTACTTCTAACAAGCTGAAGAGCTTCTTCTCCTCTAGAATAATAGTGCAGCAGTCCCTGAAAAATCTTGCACTATTCTATGAAATGCAAGAAAGAATCAATTTCCTTGAAATTCTTAGAATGGAAAAATGCATTGTCGTGATTTCATGTGTCCGTTCTATATGCTAATGCATGAAAGCTCTCAAGCAAAAAGTCAACTTTATGCTTCATTATAGTAAAAGTACTGCACAAACCAGCCAGACTAATTAATTACAGGTGAATGAGCGGACATTTGGGAAATAAAACGAAACTAGGGATTTCGCGAGGGGGGGGGAATCATGGGGTACAATTAGGTATGAATGAGAATCGGACAAAGCGGAAATCACAACTATCATTTTTGTGCAACAAATGATTATAAGCATATTGAGTGAGAGTAGAGCAAGCTTTCTACACTAAAATGTTCCGCTGTTGTTTGTAAACAAGTTTATGAAGAAATAAGATTGTTTGGCCATGCGTAGAATCATATTATGGCGAGGTTCGAGAGTGAGCTCTATGCTTGCCGATATATATATGGCTAAGCGGACATCAACAGAACAGCACTAAGAAAGCCAAGATATTGATGTTTTAGGATACTTTGGCAAAGTTGGAGGTCCTCACATAAGTAGAAAAGGCCCCATATGTGGAAAATACCAATGCTTGACACCTTTCTAAGCTTCCATCAATTCTCTGAACCTACTCGGGCCACTCTGAAATCGTTCAAACAAAACTCCTTGCGCAAAAGCTCAACTATATTCCTCTTACTTACTACACATCTACAACAATAATAAAGAAAAAACTATATAAAATCAGAATTTCTCTCGTTTTTCATGCATAAATTTCAGGCATTACCTGGTTTGGGCCTAGTCAGCTAGCTTTCGCCTGTAGGCTCTCTGGCAAAAAGAGGGGCACTGAATTTATGAAGGAAGCAAATTTGCTGACTTTAAATGTCATTTGACAAACAATACTGATTTACATTTCAGTAATCTATAGTGTTTTGATTTATGATTGCTTTCTTCCATGTCATTTTGATCTACCTGAGTTCTGTGACTAGCTGGCACACCATTAGTTCGAGTTCCTTTTTTTTTCAGCGCAGTTTTAAGTGTACTTATAAAAAAAAATAAAAAAATAAACAAACAAATAAATAAATAAATGAATAAATAAATAAATAAATAAATTCTGTTACGAATTATAGTCCACGCTTCACATTTCAGCAGATTATTGGAAACATAATTAAAGTATGTAAGTATTACATTTTCCCCAATACCTCTCAACCTCTGCTTTATAATACTTATTTGGGGTAAAATTTAGCTTTTGTAAGGGGAGATACAAGTAGGAATTCATAGGGATCTCGTACCTTCAAAACTAACAAAAGTGCTGATTTTCGATTAGATATGAGCCATTTCTTTGAGCAGTCAGTCTATCCATTTCACTCTATACGCTGCACTTTTATTTACCTTCGTCAGGCTGGAACATAAGCACTTTAGATAATTAGCAGCACCACTTCACTATAGATAATTAGCAGTACCTAGATCAGTTCAAAGCGAACTAGCTTTTAACATACATTGTTACTACAAAAAAGCATGCGATGTTCAAAAATTTTTCAAAAGATAGTTGTCTCATGGAGTTACCGCTCTTCGCTATCAGACAGGAAAAGCAAAAAAAATATTATAGAAGGTCGCAAAGAAATGAACTGACTCTTACAGAGAAACACGGGAAAAAAATAAAAGGTTTCAAAAAGATAAAGAATGAGTAAATAAATAATAATTATGGCTCAAGGTAAGACCGGAAGCGATTTGCAATTATTCTAATATTTCTAATATTTTTCAGGAAAAGTAAACGAATCAACACTTTTTCAAGTAATGCTAACAAGAGAGGTCCATTTGGTCGAAGTGGTCTTTTTATATGAAATTGATGCGACTATGAGAGCATCGAATGCTAATAACAAATCTGTCTTCGTTATCTGCCGAGCACCTTTAGACGTCGAGTTATGGGCGTTTTTTGAGTTCAAAAATTGAATGCATAATTAGAACAAAAATTGTTAGAATTGCTCAAATGGTCCAATGTTGATTATCATAGCACTCCATTTGAACAATACCTTCTGTCCAAAACACTAATACTTAACACTGCTCTATTTGAGCGCTTAGAAGACTGTAAAATTTGGTTTTACCTAGATAATGCGTTCATTTTTCATACCAAGAAAATGTCAATAACTCGGCATGCAGAGGCGCTCGGCAGATAATGAAATCAGATTTGGAGTCACCGTTTAAAGCTCTGCATAGCGGTATAAGACTCATTTGAAAAGGCCACTTCGACTAATCGGACCTCCCTTCTAAGTTATGTGATTCTCTGACTGCATGAGAATCTGTCACTTGTTTGGCACAGTTCCATTGAAACTACTACAGCTTTTCAATCTCTTTTTGTTCGAAGCATATGTGTCATACCAGATGTTTAGGCACTATAATCTTTGGAAAAAATCTGATACTAGATTAGAGTCTAGAAGCTCGTATAGCAGGAATAGCCGTTTTCAGCGGTGTTTCTAGTACTAGCTATCGTTAGTGTATGGAAATTAGTCTATATGTTCCCTGAAATATTCAAAGAAGGGGATCTTTTAGACGATCTACATTTATTTTAGCGAGAACTTCAGATCAAAGCATCTAACTTACAAGTAAAGAAGGCGCAGTAGAGCATTGAAGCGGATCAGGAAGAAGGATGGAAACTTTGGTAACTTTTCAAGAGTTTCCGAAAAATTTGCAGTTCAAAAAAGCATTTCAAATAATACTCCAGAGAGATAAAGCAGACTGAAAAGGATAAGCGGATGATATTATGAGGGAAACAGACAAGCTCAAGAACTTGTCATGAACTGCATACGCGTCACGCCTCCGCTGAAGACTCACGCTCTTAGACGGAGAAAAAAACTATCTCGCCCACTCAAGTACATGAATTACATGCTATATTATCTCGACAAGACATGAAAAATCTATAATTTATTTTTGTTTTTCTGAAGAAAAAGCCTTCAATTTATGATT